CGAAAACATAGCAGGGTTTCGCATTGGTGGTTGCATATTTTTATCTCTCCTGTCTCTCGGTTTCTTGGTCCATTCTAAGTCTGAAAATAAAGTTTAGGCATCGACCAACTGAAATTTCGAACGTGCTCCTTTAGGTAACGCGCTGACCTTCCAGAGTACATGCTCCACCTGGGTTGGCCCAAGGCTTAGGGGTGTTAGAATGTTAGTGCTATTATACAAATGAACACAGCATATAACAATATTATGTACCTAAGCCTTACTATATGTGCTCAACAATTGCAGCTATGTTATTAATAAAGGAAAATAGAAGAAAATTAACGACTCAAATGAGTCTTCAATATCCTTGACGTCCCTAGCGCTGCCTCTCTACTCATTCGTTCGATCACCTGTCTTGCTTTTACCGGTAAAATATCGAAGCTTGTTTGGAGTTTCTGGTACAGTCCTTTGGGGATTTCTCCAGATGTGCCAATGACTACCGGTATAAACCGAACCTCCCACCCTGTAGTGTCATGAAGATCGCTACAGAGGTTTGGTCCAGGTCTATACGGTAAGTCATTGTCATCTTCTTGTCGCATACTGTTAACTGTATATCTGTTCGTTTTTAGCTGAATTTGGTGACTTATACCTGAAACAAAGGGTACCGACACTTCTACCACTATTACGATCTTCTGTTCCCCATCATATAGGACAATGTCGGGCTTTCTATGAACCATAGGTTCTCTAGTCTGCACCGGCATACCCCATAAAATTTTGATGTTATTAGAGATGGTAACAGGGGGAACTTGGACGGAATAGTGATATGGTGGGATACCGTATTTTTCACATAACATAAACATTATACATCTCGCCACATTGTCATGTCGTGAGATGTAGAGAGAAGTTAGCCAAGTTTTACAATGGCTTACTACGTGCTCTACGGTTTCCAGTTCATGCCCACAAGTTCTACAGTTCTTGTCACCATGTTCTTCTCGCATCATTGGTGCAGCTCGTACTCGGATGCACCCTTCTTGAACGGCCAAGGCGTTCCTTAGATTGTCAGGTGCTAGTAGACCTTTTTCCACCCACCACCAGGAAGCCTGGTGATCAATGTCATCTAGTCTGCACACTCGACCAGCTAAGGGACATGCGGACCAATCCGCGAAGAGTTTTTCCTCATAAGATTGCACCAACTCTGCTTGAATCGCATGTGCCAAGTCACTGTAGTTCCTGTAAGACACTCCCTGGAAGATGACCTCGTTGTCGTTAATGTTCGCTTCGATACCGGTTTCTTTGATTACCGTCCATCCATCCTTGTAAACACTACGTTTGTTACTCCTGGAAGTTGCCT